TAGCTGCATACCCGTGCTCCGCCACGGTAAATCTTTTTTAAATGTTCCAACTTGGGAACAGAACAAAACTAAACACAAACACAAAACAAAAACACAAACTCAAACACCACACAAACACAACGTAAACACAACGCAAACACAAGCTCAAACACAACGCAAATACAAACCCAAAAGAAAACACACACACAACACAAACACAAAAGAAAACACAATCACAATGTAAACAAACACAATGCAAACACAAACGAAAACACAAACGCACACAAACACAAAAGAAAAAAAAAGCGAATAACAACACTAATAAAAACACCAACACAATGCAAACACAAACGCGGGAGGTCACTTCTCTCTGCTAAGACCTGCACTTGAGACGATCCAAAGGACTCCTCACTCTCATCTTTTCTCTTCCGATACGGTGGTCTCCAGATGTAGTCCGTCCGTTTCTTACAGCCACGAACAGCCCAGCGTCTCAAGTTCTTCGTTGACCCTTTGAGAGGGTCGGTCTGAGAGAAGCAGGTCGTCAAGTATCAGTGACCCCAGGGGCAGGTTAATCTGAAGATAGTAAATCTGATAAACTTGACCACGTGTGGGCCAGCCGGGTAAGGGATGGGGGTGAGGGGTGTAAGGACGACGGGTGAGGGACGGGGTTGAGGGACGGGGGTGAGGGGTATGGGGTGTGGGGTGTGGGACAAAGGGTTAGGGACGAGGGGTGAGGGACGGGTGTTAGGGGTGTGGGACGAGAGGGGGGAGGGACGAGAGGGGGGAGGGACGAGGAGTGAGGGACGGGGGTGAGGGACGAGGGTGTGGGATGAAGGGTTAGGGACGAGGGGTGAGGGGTGTGGGACGGGGGTGAGTGGTGAGGGACGGATGTTAGACTCTCGGGTTAGACTTTTATCGTTTGCCTTTAAATATCTTTCAGATCTCCGAATAATTACAAGTATGCTGTATAACCGTTTAAATATCTTTCAGATCTCCGAATAATTACAAGTTTGCTGTATAACCGTTTAAATATCTTTCAGATCTCCGAATAATTACAAGTATGCTGTATAACCGTTTAAATATCTTTCAGATCTCCGAATAATTACAAGTATGCTGTATAACCGTTTAAATATCTTTCAGATCTCCGAATAATTACAAGTTTGCTGTATAACCGTTTAAATATCTTTCAGATCTCCGAATAATTACAAGTATGCTGTATAACCGTTTAAATATCTTTCAGATCTCCGAATAATTACAAGTTTGCTGTATAACCGTTTAAATATCTTTCAGATCTCCGAATAATTACAAGTATGCTGTATAACCGTTTAAATATCTTTCAAATCTCCGAATAATTACAAGTTTGCTGTATAACCGTTTAAATATCTTTCAGATCTCCGAATAATTACAAGTTTGCTGTATAACCGTTTAAATATCTTTCAGATCTCCGAATAATTACAAGTTTGCTGTATAACCGTTTAAATATCTTGCAGATCTCCGAATAATTACAAGTTTGCTGTATAATCTACTCAATATTTGAAAAAAATTGTGTTCAGAAATATCCCGTAAACATTTCTCTAGGCGTTGATGATAAGACACAATCTTAATCCAAGGCCTCTTTGGTTTTACGCCTAACCTTATTATTGCCAACGGTATTGCTTCATGTCTCTCTAGAACTTGCTCCTAAATTAGAATAAAAAATTCACCGTAATCTATAACACAGATGTTTAACTTCCTAAAATAATCTCGATCTTGTACATATATTAACGTCCAACTTATTCATTACTTGCATGTCCATCGGTCAGTCATTCGTAAACTAGACAACTCTGTATCTTGATACAGTATCGACTAGGTTGAAAAAGACAATGTTTTTTCGTAAGCAAACTTAAGCAACTTCTTAAACCAACGATTTGCAGGTGTCGCTCTATTTAGCGAGTTTCTGGTAATTAGACGCAATTGGTCCTGATAGATTAGTCATCACTGTGGTTGGTAGGTAGATATTTACTTGTCGTTCCTTGCTTGTTTGTTTGAGTTGAAGTCAAATGGTACCGTGTCCTATGAGCAGTGTTGGCAGGTGAAGCGTACTGCGAGATAGTTCATAGAGTATTTTACTTACAGGGTAAGATTTACTCAAGTATTTTAGAATTGGCTAATTCCTTTCAACTGCCAGCTAATCGGCTAGACTGGGACGTCAGTGTCGTTATGACATCGGTAATTTGATATTTAAATACGGAAGTAATGTTTTTAAAACGTTTAGTACTTTAAAAAAAAAAAAACTACTCAGTTCTAGAACAAGTGCTAAGGTGAGTTCGCTGAATGCGTGATAAAAAGGCTTTCACTCCATGGTCGTTTTCCTGTGTATTTTATGAATGAAAGTATTTAGCAGCCTGCATCTTAAAACCTGTTCTTCAGACCTAGCCATCAAAGTTAAAATGTTAGATCTAGTATTCTGATACCATAACCAAAACGTAAACTAATAAATTTATTATAAAGCTCACCAAGCCAGTAAAGAAACTGCAATTTTTTTCAGCTTTCATAAAATATAATTAAAACAATAAATTCAAGCACTAAAACAGACACATTTGTTAATTAGCTTAAACAACAAAATCAAAGTTGAGGTTTAAGGACAAAAAAAAAATTCCAACCACTTAAATCGTGCCTTAGAGCTTTGCCGGGAAGTAATTTGACTTACCTCCCCTAGGTTTAGTGAATTATTTATTACCGCCCCTTAACACTCTATACCTCCCATATCTCCTTACGGTAGTTATTCCCCCTTTCTCCAAGTAAGACAACTCTAATTTGACTGCTTCTGAAGTCAAAGATTTGTAGTTGGCACTTGGCTTTTTAAGATGACTGATGCCCCCGTCTTCAAGAGATAACAATTTATTTGCCCCATCCTCCGGCTAAATGCTTTCACTTACCGACAGGACCGTTGAAAATTCCCAGACTGAACGCGTTTTCGCAGTCGGGGAAGCTATTTTGGCTAAGAATGGGCTGATATACAGAATAAATTGCAAAACTTTCACGTTAGATTATATTTCCACTTGGGGTGTTATTAGCGGTCGATGCTCAAATTAATATAATTGAATGTAGAGGTTTGCAAATTGCTAGACTTGGCATTGCGGGGGTTTGTATTGCCCCGGAACGAAATAGAAAACATATATTTTACATAGATAACATTTTCTTTAGCTTATATTAGGCCCTACCACCCCCCCCTAGTTTTTCAGAAATTTTAAGTACCCCCTCTTTAAGAGAAGGTGTCTGAACGAAACCCTGCAGTAAACCCTGCAGTAAACCTTGCAGAAAACCCCGCAGTAAACCCTGCAGTAATCCCCAATCAACCATCAGTTAAACATCAGTTAACCATCGGCTGCGCTGTGCCTTGATCTAAAGGTTTGTTTATTTCCTGGACCCCCACCCATACCGCCCGCCCCCCCCCCCCCCCCCGCCCACACCGCCCCGCCATGCTTCTAATTAGGTTAAAGACAAACTTCCCTTGTACAGTAGTCTTTGTATACGTCCTGGGTCAGGTCACCGCGACCCACCGGCCACACAGAAGGGAGTACAAATCAAGGGCAATGACCTTAAATTCACCGTCGGAAATAATGGGATACTTTACCTTGGCAGTTTAATTGGATGAAGTTAAAGGGCGTCATTAATGTCTACCGGATAGTGACGTCAAGTAAAGAAAAATAACAATTGAAATGCACAGGATAATATCAGACGGGGGGGGGGGGGGGTCTACTCAGTCACTTGAGGGGTGTTTTAGTACCAGGAGGGGCGTGTTTTAATACCGGGGGGGGGGCGTGTTTTAATACCAGGAGGGGGCGTGTTTTAATACCAGGAGGGGGCGTGTTTTAATACCGGGGGGTGGGGCTTCTCACAGTCACTTGAGGTGTGTTGTAATACCATGGGGAGAAGACGCCACTCAGTGTATGTGATACAGAGGGATGTTTTAATACTATGGGAAGGGGGAGACCTAAAACTCTTTGTTCAAAAAGTCGGCAAAATTTACATATTGTTTTCAAAGAGTCTTTTGAAATGGTAGAAAAACAACCCTGAAATTTCCCTTAATTTAGTAATGGGGGATTTCTTACTATTTTTCAAATAAAAAAAAGTGTTATCAACATTTTAATCTTATAAACAAGTTCGGAGAATAAAAATGCGAATACATTTTAATGTCTTGACTGAGCCGCTGCAGTAATGTTGTTGTTTGTTGTTGTTTAAGTTTAAGTTTAAGTACAGGTTGTTGTTGCTGGCGTATTATATGTTATCTGTGTATGTAGGATGTAGTTTGAGTTGTAGCAGTGTGTGTAATTATGTTATTTGGTGAAAACCATGTTTTAAAAGTGCAGGTTGGACATATATAATTATATTCTACAAAATAAAAAACAACAGAATGTTTATTTGACGTCATTCACTGCGGTTTAAAAATACTGTAGCAGACGTTTTCGATAGCTATCGGTACATCCGGGTTAGCTAGTCAGGGCTGAATTTAACAAGGTCAAGGCCGGCTGATCGTCTGGTATTCAGACGTCTGATATTTTCCCCTCTGCTTTCCTTCTTTCTTGTTGTCATTTTTATTTTCATTTATTTTTTTTGTTTGTTTTGTTTTAACGCCTGGTTCTTGATTGAAGGGTTAAGTGGTTGGATGAGCAATGAAAAGATGGGGTGGGATGGGTGTTCGTCACAGTGTGTGTGTGTGAGTGTGTGTGTGTGTGTGTTTGTGTGTTTATGTGTGTGTTTTTATGTAAGGCGAAGTGAGAGGTATTTGAAATGGGCTGAGATTTCATTACACATTCAAAGCAAAAATTGTTCGTACATCTCAACTTAATTAATAGCCCAGAACAAATATGATAATGTTGTAATTTAATTTATCCTGTTACACAAATTAAAATTCTTTTCCCAAAGTCTGGGCTACGCGCCGCGCCGTCTGCTATTAGAGATGTTATCTAGGTAATTAATTTTAGTTTTGGGGGAAAAAAATATTTAAGAGTAATTTTTTTTCTTCATTTTTATTTCAGCATTTACCTCATTTTATCTCATCAACAAATACCTCAACAGACATCGAACACCTCACGCAAGGTAAGCGTCGTAAGAATCTCTTGTTGATTAGACTCTTGTTGTGCAAAGTTAGACTTCCGGTACGGCATTGAGCCATTCTTGTGTTTCTACTAAGTACTACGTGCAATCATGTTATGTGCCATATCACCCGTGGACTCCGACCACAACTTGTTTCTTTTACTGGCTACTGTTTCCATAGCCTTTTTCTGGGAACGATTTACAAGGCAGCGGTTTTTTATATTGGGGTGAGAGCTAAAGGTATAGGCGCATATATATATATATATATATATATATATATATATATATATATATATATATATATATATATATATATATATATATATATATATATATATATATTAATTGATCGATCGAGTCCATTGCAGCTGTAGATCCTCCTAGAGTGATACCCCCTAATTTAGCTGCTCACGATTTGAACTTTTATATCTGTTGAGAAGATAAACACCAATGCATGTTAATTGGCGAGTCGGACAAAACATCCATCGTCCGAAGAAAAGACCCATCGTCCACCTCCACACCCCCCCCCCCCCCCCATGCTACCCCAGATTTCCCCTGTGCATGCATAACGCCGGACAAAAAATGAATCTCTTTGTTGTGGCCGAAAAGGCATCGATCACGATCTGCCATTTGTGTAAATGAATTTGATAGGCCGTGCTTCTGGGTTAGATCGTTGCTATATTCTGCTTATACGTGGGAATTAAGGTGCTTAGTTGAAGTATGTGTAATGTGTTTTATTTCAATAATATACATGTTTTGATTCCATTAAATTCGTATTCTAATAACAATGGAACTGTATACCATTAAGTATGTATTAAAAAACCGTTTTTCGTAAAAGAAAAAATCGTGATTTAATCGAAATAAGTTTCAAAAAATATTATAATTTAAATAAATAAAAACAAAATGAAATGTTAGCTACATTTTAAAATTCTGTCATATAAAAATATTTTTAAATTTAAAAGGGTTTTAAAACGATTTTCACATTTTCCCCGCTATTCCCGCTAAAACAACACCGTGAAACACAGCAGTAGAAACCCTTTTGAAAACTCCTGAAGGAGAAATCACTCGATGCTAGTTCAAATGTTGACTTCCTACTTGTCTCTCCTTGTGTCAACTGAAATCAACTTTTAAGCTGTCTCATCGTAGAAGGTGTAGATTTTAACGTCATTGACTACGTGAAGACTACAGAAGTTTTTGTTTGGCTTAAATGGGTATGCGTTTTTACTTTCTCGTATATACGAAGTATAGAGAAAGTCTTGTAATCGTGCAAAAAAAAAAATCGAGATTTTTACAAATCTCGACGTTTCACACCTCACTGATACGGAAAAACATAATTTTGCAATCTTGTCCGTATGTCTGTGTGTCTGTCTGTGTGTCTGTGTGTCTGTGTGTCTGTCTGTCCGTGTGTAAACACGATAACTTGAGTACCGTTACAGCTAGGTTGATGAAATTTCATATATAAGTATTTAATCAAAATCGTAGATCCGTATCAACTTTTGAGCGATTTCCGATAACCGGAAGTGGTACTTTTCCTACTTTGAATTTTTCCAAAAGCCTATAACTTGAGTACTATTTCAGATAGATAAATGAAATTTCATATGTAAGTAAAAGATCTAATTCTCTACCTTCTATTAAATTTTGAGTAATTTCCGTTGACCGGAAGTAGTACTTTACGCTACTTCCGATTTCTCAAAAAACTAATGTAAATTTTAAAAGTACTAATAATATTGCGCACCATTATGCGCTTTTTTATTTGGCGTTCACTTGGTGTGCAATTAATTTGTCTACGAGATTTTATTCTATTTTTAAAACTTTAAGTATTTAAAATGGATTAAAAATCATGTCTATAGCCCGAGTTCCCATCCCCTGTTATTTTATATAAGAATATTCGAGAAAGTTTAGGGGAGATCACTCCCGGTTTATTTTGTTTTGTTAGGAAACAATATTTAGAAATCAGTGTTTTTAGGAGTTTTTTGTCGGTGGTTGGGGGGGGGGGGCACTTAAAACTTTTATGGGGGAGGGGGTGGACTTACATTTCTGCAGCGTAGAGGAGGAGGGGCGGACAATACGTAGTGTATTTCTATCTAAATTAGATTTGTTCTATTTTGTTCGATACTTCAACCAAGCCAAGACACTCCAGTATAGCTAACAACATCACAATCCAAAGCCTTAATCACCAACAAAATCAAGACACTCCAAGCTAACCAACAAAATCACCACTACCAAAAACCCAATCCGCAACAACTCCAAGACACTCGAGTCTAACCAACAACATCAATTCTACCCCCAACTCAATCACCAACAAAGTCAATATACTCTAGTATTACAAACACCATCACCACCACCCCAATCACCAACAAAGTCAAGACACTCTAGTATAACAAACACCATCACCACCACCCCAATCACCATCAAAGCCAATACACTCTAGTCTAACAAACACCATCACCACAAACCCAATCACCAACAAAGTCAATACACTCTAGTATAACAAACACCATCACCACCACCCCAATCACCAACAAAGTCAATACACTCTAGTATAACCAACACCATCACCACCACCCCAATCACCAACAAAGTCAATACACTCTAGTATAACAAACACCATCACCACCACCCCAATCACCAACAACTGCAAGACATTCCATCACAGCCCTGTGACTCAGTGTAGAAAACTGTGACGGAGGTAAACAAAAAAAAAAAAACAAGAGTAGAGTCCCTTGTGACATCATATGTTGACACGCATCATCCCAACATCGGCTGCAAATGTCAAGCTATTTATGTAAATATGTCACGATGTCTCGAACTGTTTTTTTCTCCCGTCTCTCACCGGCCACCCACCCACACACCTTGTTTCCTGTCTAGTCATGCTTCACAATTTTCTCTCATAATTAGCGGCTAATTAGGTCAAGGTAAAAAAAAAGGTTGATTTGTAATTTTTTTTAAAATTCCGAGTAGACCTCACGATGTTGTAATTACATTGGTTAATGCCAAGTTAATGCAATAATGGTTTGACACCACTAGCGGAGGCGTGGCTAGGGGGTGGAAGGGGCGGTCCTCGATGGAAGTATTTTAATTGTTGGGGAGCGGGTAAATTGATTAGGATCTTCCATTGTATTAATTTAAAAAAAAAACCCGGATGTTCAGCTTGTAAGCTATTTCTAGATTTGTTAGATTACAATGTATGTATCCAATTTTAATCTATTCAAATATCACCGGCCGAATCAGTGTTGACCACACCATTCCTTTATAAGCATGTCATATATGCCCAATGGTTCGCTAGGTTTACAAGGGAATCTTTACCTTTTTTTTTACCTAGTCGGAGTATTGGGTCGACAATATACGACAACCCCCCCCCCCCCCCCCCCAAATAATGAGTGTTGCCCCTTCACCCCACCCCTCCAAAAGAAATAGAACTTTTATAGAAAATATATAATTTTAACACTGATCCACTTTTACACCGATCAGAACTGAACGTTCCCACTTTCTCTATGGTAGACGTGGCAACGTCTCCACTTGATCAAGTTCCAGTGGTTCTCAAGTTCCAGTGGTTCTCAAGTTCCAGTAGTTATCAAGTCCCAGTAGTACTTAAGTTTTAGTATCTCCTTTACCGCCAGCATTACTCATATAGTAAGTTCCAGTGGTTCTCAAGTTCCAGTGGTTCTCAAGTTCCAGAAGTTCTCAAGTTTTAGTATCCCCCTCCACCGCCATCATTACTCATACAATACCATCTACACCAGCGTGTCGTAGCTCCTGTGATCTTAACCCACTCTCTTATCGAACGAAAGCCACGGACGCACATTCAGCTCCGCCGTATATAAAAAAAAATGGGGCCATCATTAGGTACTTAGTTTGACTGACTTTAGTACCCTGAATTTATCGTCCTCCACTCCACGGCGCCGCTCCCCCCTCGTGAAGTAGCACCGTATCTCACCGGATGATGTTTGAGACGTACTCGAGGCACGGGATCAAAACTTGCCGACCGTCCTGAAGCGACGTTAAGACATCGCCGGCCAGATAAACACGCAGGAGCGTAGTGATACATCGACGGGCCACACACGGACTGGATAAGTAGTCCCTTCAAAAGTAGGCTGGCACTGATGTGGTGTTATAAGACTCTGTTGTTGTGTTATTCGACTGAATCCTAGAAACGGTAGCGGGTTGCGCGAAGAAGAATGAGTATCCGTATTCGTTTCCGTAATATATATATATATATATATATATATATATATATATATATATATATATATATATATATATATATATATATATATATATAGGCCCATTTATATATTTATATATAAAATCGAAACATCAAATCTACGTTTGTGACTAACTCAAGTTTTACTATTACCCTAATCCGTAAACGTATCCCTAACATCAACTATTATCCTTATCGTCTCTTCGTCTCTGGGTATATGTTGAAGCAACATTTCAGCATGTGATGACTTAAGTCCGAAAGTACTGCAATGGTGGATATAAAAATACGGTGCAAGCACCTTTGATCGGGAATAGGCCTACTAAATACAACGACGGCAATGTTGAACATCAAACTTGTTACAACTCAGTTACTCGAGACATGTCCAACACCCATTACAACACGACCTTTCACCCTTAGGGGTCATCCATTTATGACGTCCACAATTTTTTTGGATTTTGGACCCCCCCCCCCCCCCCGTCCACAAAAATCCACTTTTTTCCTTATTAAAGTCCATATGCGTCCACAAAAGTAAGTTTTTTTTCGGACTCCCCCCCCCCCCCCGCGTGTGGACGTCATAAATGGATGACCCCTTATACACCGGTAAACCCCCACCCACCCCATCACCCACACATTTTCGATTAAAATCCTACGCTACGTAAGCTTGTTGTACTAGTCGAGTCAGGCTTAGCAGTAACGGAGCTAATTGCTAATGTAAGTCAATTACACTTGTACTGTTTTGGTTCTGCGTGCCAGACTATTTAAGGCGGCCAGTGTTTATAAGGCGTGCGTCGGAGAAAGGAAAAGAGAATCGAGGCGCAACTCTTGACGTGTGACAGGGGTTAAGTGCCCCTGTTTGTACCGACAAATCTCATACCTTGATGGGAAATGTGAACCACTTAGCAGTGATACGTTTGACAAACATAGTGCGTACTTGTGGGCTATCTTAGATATATTATATGTACATACGCGTACGACTAACCGTACCCGTATAAGTACAAGTAAAAGTTTAGTTACACGTTCATGTTGACGTTGACGTACACGCACACGTACACGTATACACACGTACACACACGTACAGTACACATACGTACACACACGTACACACACGTACACACTCATACACGCACACGTACACACACGTACACACATACACACACGTACACACACATACACACACGTACACACACACGTACAAGTATACATGCAATTGTACGTGTATAAAAATGTGTATCATAAAAATACCACAAGAACATGTTCATAAAACCACAAAACAACCATCCTCTGATGTTGTGCTCTGAAAACGTTGAAAAGTTGTAGAACACAACTACAGACAGCGAGAATCGTTGAAAACGTTGAAAAGATGTAGAACACCACTTGAGACAGCGAGAATCACATTGTGTGATCAAATCTGAACTCCCTACCCTTATGTTAAAAGCAGACATGGTCGAATGAAAATTGTTCCTATTTTGCATATAAAAAAACCGCCATAAAACTAAAACGGAACAAAAAATGGGCTTTATCGAGTGAAACGGAACTTGTGTTCGGTTTGTGTTTTTTATCTTGTTCAGCTTGAGGTATCATAGAGAGCGTCGTAGAAGGCTTTGATAGAACGTCAACATGAATAACATTAAAACATGTTCCATTTACATTTAGGACATGAATATGAATGTAACGACACTAAAAAGTAAGTGCGAGCGGTTTAAATGACGATGTTCCTTCGGTATTGGCGGGGAAATCAGAAGAATTCAGTGTGGTCGGATCGGTACAGCGCATGCTTGCTAAATTGAAAAGAGTTCGAACCTACAGACAGATGAGACTCGATAGCTGGGGACAGCCACTCTTCTAGGAGAGACAACTCCAAAATCAAACAACTGCTGCCTTGTAGTTTGTTCTTCGTTGGACAAAGGCTATGGACGCAAATCCAATAAAGAAAAGCAGGCCGAAATCGGACTCAACGGCCTATTTAGTGTATAACAAGTTGACACGGAATATTTAATTGCGTTGGAGGTAATAATTACAATTAAGAAAATAAGAAGAAGAAGTAGAAAGCGAAGCAAGGTCAACGGGACGTTATTGTAAAGTTCCCTTTTCGAACCTGGTGGTCCATGGGGCAAGTGAAGTAGAGTTCACCTGTTTCTATGACCTCGCATATGAAGGGATAGCGTGATAAATACTATGCCCAGCCGCCTTTACTTTCCCTAACGAACTGCAAAACAAGTAGTTTACATGGTAGGTTAGTGCGAACAAAATGCTTGGGTAAAGGGCGTCCATTACATCAAATGTTTTGTTCTTTTTTTTTGTTTAATTGAAAGGCATCACCAGCAGATCCGCTCTTCTGCAGCTAATAATCCTAGTTACGCCACTGTAGCCGACCCATTTATAAAAGTAACACATGACCTTTGACACTTCTGACCTATTGACCTGCTAGTCTCGAATGGGGAGTTATCTCACTTCTATTACAAGTAGCAGACAAATGCAACTGATAATTATCAGCACTTAAGTAGAGCGCTTCTTGCTTTTACACAATAGTTGCTTCATCTAACAATTAGAAATCCGATAACTTCAGCTTTACTAAGTACCTGATCAACGATATCTACCAAGTCTTGGCAGTTTTTGTCATCCAATTATGTTATCGTTTTTTTATTTAATTAAAAAAAAAATAAGATGGAGTTGATGTCTATCTTTGATAAGGAGAGATCAAAGAAAACTTGAGCGTGTGACGGGTCACAGTTCACTAAACTTTGACCCGGATGACGTCACCATGTTAAGGTTACGTTTTTTTTGATGAATCAGATTGTGATAAGGGGGCCTATATGTGAGTTTGTGTTGAGCTAAAACGGTGTCGTGCTGTTAATTATGGGTGAGGGTAAGGTTGAGGGAGAGGGGGACAGAGGTCGGGTTATTATTCTCATGTTTGTTGTAAAAACAACGTTCGTTTTATCCACATTAATATGACGAGTTTATGAATACACATTAATACTGCTAACCCGAAGGTCTCAATTTCAAATCCGAATCCAAGTCAGTAGAATGTCCCTGAGTCCACCCAGCTTTGATGGGTACCTGACTCATATTAGGGAAAGTAAAGGCGGCTTGGTCAAGAAACATGAACTCTACTTCATCTGCCCAATGGATTGTTAGGTCTAAATGGGATTCTTTGCTTTCACTTAATCCTATCTCAGTTGAAAATTCTTTCAGTTTCAGCTCACATTTTTAGTTTTTATATTTAAAATCTCGGACTCAATTGTCGTGTTTGTTTTTATGCCTAGAGTTGCTCAGCAAACTATGGGCGTCCAACCGTCCATCGAAAGGATTATTTTCACAATTTAAGACTTAACCAACTGTCATATTTGTGTTTCCCCATAGCAACCATCCAGTCCCGCAGCAAAAGATGGGCGTCCATCAAAAGGATCAAACTCTTCCAGCACGACAAAGGCGCCTTGTCTCACCTTCTGCCCAAGCCGACCATCGTCAGACGTAGAAACCCGGTCACGGCCAAGGTCGGCGTGCTGGTGGTGGTGGAGAACTCCATCTACCGCCAGTACCTCAGGGACAACGGCAACAACGCGAGGGTCGCCCTGGCCAGGATCCGGCGCTACTACGGCATGGTGTTCGCCATGGTGAGTGGGACGCCGTGGGTCTGAAATGTTAAAGCTAAAAAATGGCGCGCTACTCGTTTTTGTTTGTTTTTTAATTAATATTTTTTTTTTTTCTTTTTCTTCCAGATAGATCAAAGATTCTCAACCATAAACGATCCTAATTTAAGAATATCAGTCAGAATTTCCGGAATCCTTGTAGCAGAAGTGAGTGTCATTCATAATCTTTTAACACAAATGTGTTATAATCACTTGATGATTGTTTCTGCCGTCGTCTTAGTACCCCCATTGTTATTATACTCAAATAATAAGTTCCAGTGGCGTAGCGAGGTCGGGTGTCACCCGGTGCGGTCCGCACCCCCGCCCCCCCCCCCTCATTCATTAGTCTTCTCTGCTCCTTATGGAGCATAGGGCCTCCACCATTTCCTTCCATTTCTTCCTATCCTCGGCTATTAATTTTGACATCTCCCAAGACATCCCTATTGGCTTCAGTTCTTCAAGAAGACACCGCCTCCAGGTCTGTTTTGGGCGCCCTCTCTTCCGCTTTCCCTGGGGGTTCCACTCAAGCGCTTGGCGTGTAACATTTGTGTGAGCCTTTCGCAGTGTGTGACCCACCCAGCGCCACTTCCTCCTTCTTATTTGCACACCTATAGGCTCCTGCCTAGCTTTCCTCCATAGTTCCAAGTTCGGCACTTTGTCCTGCCATCTCAGTTTCAGTATCTGTCTAAGGCATCTATTCATGAAGGTCTGTATCTTTGCTGTGCTTGCCTTGGAGACTCTCCATGTCTCTGCTCCATACAGCAGAACTGCCTTGACATTAGAGTTAAATATCCTAATTTTTGTGGTAATGGAGATGGCTTAACTTTTCCATATGGGTCGCAGGACTGTGAAAGCGCAACGGGCTACGCCTCTAATAAGTTCCTCGATTCAGTTTTTGTCCCCTGCTTCAGTATTTAGATACTAATCGACTTGTGAGGCACCAATAATAGTCCGAGGTTCTGCTAACGTGGCCAAAACGTGTAATTAAAGAGCGAGCTTAACATGCGTTTTTCAGTGTTTCTTTCAGGCACCTCTCCTGCAAGGGGGGCATCACCACGATTAAACAAACCTCTAAACGTTGGCACCCTTAGCCCCGCCCCTAAACATTGACACCCATAGCCCCACCCCTTAACGTTGACACCCATAGCCCCACCCATATTCTAAGCATTGACACCCATAGCCCCACCCCTAAACATTGACACCCATAGCCCCACCCCTAAACATTGACACCCATAGCCCCACCTCTGCATTGACACCCCTAGTCTAACGTTGACACCCATAGCCCCTCCCTAGTCTAAACATTGACACATATACCCTCACCCCTAGTCTAAAACATTACCCCCTCTGTTACAGCGACGAGAAGACTCGGGCTGGCTGGAGAACATCGTGGACTGGGGGACCCTGCGGACCCACGGGATGGCCTCAGTGTACACGGACCGTGCCCTCAGGAAGTTCACCAAGTGGGTCAGTACCCGCAAGAACCTGCCGGAGTTCGACCACGCCATGGTCTTCACCGCGTCAGTATTCAGCTCCAAGCTTCATTTCTTCTCTCCCTTTGTCTGTGTCTTCCTGCTTCAGTTCTTCTCTCCCTTTATCTGCCTGCTTCAGTTCTTCTCTCCCTTTACTTTGTCTGCCTGCTTCAGTTATCTCCCTTTTCCTTTGTCTGCCTGCTTCAGTTCTTCTCTCCCTTTACCTTTGTCTGCCTGCTTCAGTTTTTCTCTCCCTTTACCTTTGTCTGCCTGCTTCAGTTTTTCTCTCCCTTTACCTTTGTCTGCCTGCTTCAGTTCTTCTCTCCCTTTAGCTTTGTCTGCCTGCTTCAGTTCTCTCCCTTTACATTTGTCTGCCTGTTTCAGATATTGTTTCCCTTTTCAATAGCAGCTTAAGTATTTATCTCCCTTTTCCAGTATTTGTCTCCCGCTTCAGTAATTATCTCCCTGCTTTAGTAATTACCTCCCTGCTTCAGTAATTATCTCCCTTCTTTAGTGTTTGTCTCCCATTTTATGTACATGTATTTGTATGCTATTTGTCTTCCTGATTCATCATATTTGCATCTGTCTTTAAAAAACAACCACATCAAAGTCTGTCCAATTAAACTGTCTATTTATTAGTGTCTCCGTGTTTCTATATTATTTTCCTTTCTATTGTAGGTACCGCCTAACCATCAAGCAAGGTATAACTTTAGGAGGTGAGTGAAAACTTTAGGTGGCAACTTTGAGTAATAAATGCAGAAGAAATAAATACTAGATTTGATTACATACACATGTTTATACTCCTAATTAGGATCCTGTGAAACGTATTTATTTACACAATATTTCTTTACCATTCTATTAAAGGTTATTGGGAAGCCATTGTTGCACTTTGATAAATGTATCCATCCCTAAAAAAGCTTTTGATCTAATCAGAACGAGTACATTGTATTGCAGGCATGGCATATCTGAATGCCATATTTGACATATTGTATTGCAGGCATGGTATATCTGAATGCCATATTTGACATATTATATTGCAGGCATGGCATATCTGAATGCCATATGTGACATATTGTATTGCAGGCATGGCATATCTGAATGCCATATTTGACATATTATATTGCAGGCATGGCATATCTGAATGCCATTTGTGACATATTGTATTGCAGGCATGGCATATCTGAATGCCATATTTGACATATTGTATTGCAGGCATGACATATCTGAATGCCATTTGTGACATATTGTATTGCAGGCATGGCATATCTGAATGCCATATGTGACATCAAGTCCGGCAACGCTGTGTCCATAGTGGCAGACAGGGGTGACTTTCAATGTGTCAAGGTCGCTACTCACGAACTGGCTCATAGGTAAGGTGGGAACTGTCACATGTGTGAGGTGTGAGTAAACACGTAGTACTCACTCACACTGTAAACATCACTAGTGTGCAATAGCTGTGGTGGTTAAGGGAAGCTTTGTTGACATGAAGGTTTCAAGTTCGATTCTTGTTTTAAAAATGTTTAAATTTATGCAAAGGTTTGTAAAATATCTACTTAACTCATTTGGGTATCTAGCATGCGCTGGGTGAAATAATAGCAGTTAAGCTTGGTTTTCTCCCCGCAAAGAACAATCAAAATCTTTTTCATCTGTTATAGATATCATTAGGTCCAACTAGTAATGGCTAATAGTTTATTTACACATAACGTCATTCAATTTCTATAAGTTGTTGACACTTGTAAATAGTTGTATTTGTTTACTTAGTAAAGTTGCTTTAAGAATGCTTAAATTTATTACAGTATATTTTCTCCTTCTAAAACTAACATTGGTATAGCAAGTAGCCTATTCAAAAATAATAAAACACTGTTTTTCAAATGACAGTCTCGGGGCGAATCACGATGGCGACAAGCACAGCAAGAGTTGCCGCCCTGACGCCAACTACATCATGTCCCCCCAGCCAGCCCATCACAAGCAGGTGCTCAAGAACGCTTTTTACTTCTCGCCCTGTTCCATCCGGGATATGACTTACCACCTCAGGTAAGACACGGCACCTGTATGCTCAGTCAACCTGGTAATATAGGAGAACTATGGTTAGTCAACCCACCCCAGGTAATACAACACCACTGGTCAGTCAATACACCCCAGGTAACATAACACCTCTGGTCAGTCAATACACCCCAGGTAACATAACACCTCAGCAGTCAACCCACCCCAGGTAACATAACACCTCTGGTCAGTCAATACACCCCAGGTAACATAACACCTCAGCAGTCAACCCACCCCAGGTAACATAACACCTCAGCAGTCAACCCACCCCAGGTAACACATCACCTCTGGTCAGTAACCCACCCCTTGTATCACAACACCTCAACATTAATCTCACAAACCATGCTACATCCTATAGATATACTCACTACTTGCCGTTATACGAATCAGTACACGTAGCCAATTTCAAATCTTTCCCTACCGTTGTCATAATAAATGGCTGAAGAAATAGTGGTGTAGCCCCGGATGGTCTTTCTCCACCATATACAGCACCACCTTTACTAGAAAGTTACAAATGGCTTGATGGGGCAGTTTTTGTTAGTATTCTGGTGAGCAACACACTCTGTCCAGTGGCGTAGGCAGGGAGGGTTTGGGGGGAGTCATAACCACCCCCCATAGACCCCTCGGTATATATATAAAGTATGAGGGGGGGTGCAAATCGAAAGTTTGTCCCCGGGTAAAAATTGGACCCCCCCCCCTTGAGACGATCCTGGCTACGCCACTGACTCTGTCTCTCTCTAAGGAGGATTTGTGGCACCAGACAGGTTCACTGACCGCACCATGCACATACTCTAGTGATGCCACATCACATAGTGGTGCACCTTGAGTCTCTCATTGTTCAACATCGTACGTTTAAATTAACAACAGCAAAACTTGGATATCGAAACAAGATGGATGAGTACAATCAGTGGCGTAGCGAGGGGGGGGGGCGGGGTGCGGACCGCACCGGGTGACACCATTTAGGGAGGTGACACCAAAGCAAAAAATTGCAAAATATATAGAGAAAAAGAAAATTCCACTTACTTAAGTATATTCGAGTGTTAAATAGTCTTTTAAGAGGTGCAAATCGAAAGTTTGAGGGGGTGGGGGTGCAAATCGAAAGTTCGAGGGAGGTGCAAATCGAAAATTTGTCCCCGGGAAGGTTCGCTACGCCTCTGGGGGGTGACACCATTAAGTGCCGCACCGGGTGGCACCTGACCTCGCTACGCCACTGAGTACAATAATCAAGAAACATGTTCGCAAAAGTTTTGTATGAAAAAAAAATGCATTTACAACAGTGCACATTAATATACGCGGCTTGCTGTAATCAAAGTAAAAAATACAAAGAACTAAATATCTAACACCCCCAAACAAAAACGAACCAAATTAGCTAAACTAATTAATTATAACTATTATAATTAGTCCTAATTAACAGCTGGATCCGATACTCCGTATAATATTAACTGATTCCCCTCCCTATTTATCTGGCCACTTCAGCAAACCCACCTCGGCGTGTGTGAAGAACGAGCCCCCCGTCTACTACAGCTATGATCTCAGACGTCTACCACCTGGCCGGGTCTACTCGGCCGATATGCAGTGTAAGCTCATCTTCGGCAAGAAGTCCGGGTTCTGTATGGTAAGTTTAACCAGTTGTGTCGCTTACGGCAAAATGTCCGGGTTCTGTATGGTAAGTTTAACCAGTTGTGTCGCTTACGGCAAAATGTCCGGGTTCTGTATGGTAAGTTTAAACCAGTTGTGTCGCTCACGGCAAAAGTCCGGGTTCCGTATGGTAAGTTTGTCGATCACGGCAAAAAGTCCGGGTTCTGTATGGTAAGTTTAACCAGTTGTATCGCTTACGGCAAAAGTCCGGGTTCTGTATGGTGTGTCGCTCACGGCAAAATGTCCGGGTTCTGTACGGTAAGTTTAACCAGTTGTATCGCTTACGGCAAAAGTCCGAGTTCTATATAGTGTGTCGCTCACGGCAAAAAGTCCGGGTTCTGTATGGTAAGTTTAACCAGTTGTATCGCTTACGGCAAAAGTCCGGGTTCTATATAATGTGTCGCTCACGGCAAAATGTCCGGGTTCTGTATGGTAAGTTTAACCAGTTGTATCGCTTACGGCAAAAGTCCGGGTTCTGTATGGTGTGTCGCTCACGGCAAAATGTCCGGGTTCTGTATGGTAAGTTTAACCAGTTGTATCGCTTACGGCAAAAGTCCGAGTTCTATATAGTGTGTCGCTCACGGCAAAAAGTCCGGGTTCTGTATGGTAAGTTTAGCCAGTTGTATCGCTTACGGCAAAAGTCCGAGTTCTATATGGTGTGTCGCTCACGGCAAAAAGTCCGGGTTCTGTATAGTGTGTCGCTCACGGCAAAATGTCCGGGTTCTGTATGGTAAGTTTAACCAGTTGTATCGCTTACGGCAAAAGTCCGAGTTCTATATAGTGTGTCGTTCACGGCAAAAAGTCCGGGTTCTGTATGGTAAGTTTAACCAGTTGTATCGCTCACGGAAAAAGTCCGAGTTCTGTATGGTGTGTCGCTCACGGCAAAAAGTCCGGGTTCTGTATAGTGTGTCGCTCACGGCAAAATGTCCGGGTTCTGTATGGTAAGTTTAACCAGTTGTATCGCTCACGGAAAAAGTCCGAGTTCTGTATGGTGTGTCGCTCACGGCAAAAAGTCCGGGTTCTGTATGGTGTGTCGCTCACGGCAAAAAGTCCGGGTTCTGTATGGTGTGTCGCTCACGGCAAAAAGTCCGGGTTCTGTATGGTGTGTCGTTCACGGCAAAAAGTCCGGGTTCTGTATGGTGTGTCGCTCACGGCAAAAAGTCCGGGTTCTGTATGGTAAGTTTGTCCCCACGGGGAAAGTCCGAGTTCTATATGGTAAGTTTGTCGCTCACGGCAACAAGTCCGGGTTCTGTGTTGTGTGTCCCTCACGGCAAAATGTCCGGGTTGTGTATGGTGTGTCGCTCACGGCAAAAAGTCCCGGTTCTGTATGGTGTGTTCAAGCAGTTATCTCGTTTACTCATACTAGTTGGCTGTTTTCGTTTTAAAACTGAAATTACGTAACTGTACATTCAATAATATAAAAACAAAGTGGACAGTGGTTGGTTTATCATTTTGATATATTGCATGATTGGCTATGGAGTACGTTGTGGTGAATAACTATTGATTCTTTCTTTTAAAATATTATTTTTGATGATTGAATTAATAACTTGTCACAACTGAGTCACTTTTTTTTTTTTTACATTTGTTGTCTATGATTATGAAGATGTAATAAGCTGTTATGTATGAAACGATATGTCCCAAACATATTTTAAACATCCAGTTTTGTAGCTTTATTTGAATTACCCTGTAAATGAAATGGTCTGAGAAACTATATAATGTGAAAAGGTGTTGATCTAATTCAATAAGTTGTATAACGTAATTTAATGTTCTGATGGGTAAAACAAAATTGACCTAAAATGTGTGCACCATTATATTTAGACTAGCAGGATGTTTGTTTCATACATGACCTTATGAAACCGGAAATGGTCGCGACCTTTATCTGAAAGCGTATCATTCGCGTCGGTGGACGATAATTCAAGACAAAGTTGTCATGGCCCGTAAATTTAGCGTTGGGTTGTGTAGTCGTTTATCAGCGAGCATGGGCTTCATGTTCCATGAGTTGTCTAGGTATCAGATATAGAGTCTAGCCTATTTGTGGAACCTATTAGAGTAGGTATGCTGGTGAGTCAGAAGTATTCTCAAAGTATTCGTATAGTCGTATATTATAGTAATGCATTCTACTAACTAAACATAATTGCCTAAATACTAAATACTATACAACTTTAAACTAACATTGTCATAAAAACAAATGCTAGATTACCAAACCTAGACACCAGATACCCGAAATGAAGAGCACATCAATAGAAAATGAAAATAAAACTCAAAATGTGTTGCATCTTCTTATAGTAAAAATATCGAAAACTTATCTAGGGGACACAACTGTTTAAAAAAAACGCGTTAATGCATTTACTTGATTACGTACCTTGTAATGGTTTATTTTACTTTTTTACTTTTAAAAAAATGTCATTTGAAAATCTTTGTCAAACTACATTATTAATTTACACATATAGGCCTATATATATAAGGAGGAAAACAGAAGCTATCATTTTTTATAATGGAAACCCACAATATGTTTTTGAAAAAATGAAATTATTGTTTTAACTGTTTTCAACACTGATCAGAGTGACAAATATTCAAAATCAAAAGAGAAATGGTTTTTAAAAAGTAGCTATTGGAGAATTTAAATTGTAAAAATAGACAAGTGGAGGGTTACATGTGTTTCTAATGACTTTTTTGTATTAAAAAATGGCACACTCTAGGTAGGTTTTGGATGTAGGATATAGGGTCAAATAGGTGTATTAGAGCTTTTATCATGTGTGCCTTTTTGTCAGCCCTCCTCTCTTTCCCAGGAAGGGAACTGGGTGGATGTCATGTGTGGACAACTCTGGTGCCGTGATCCCAACAAAGAAAGTGGTTGTAGAACAAATTCTTATCTGACAGCATTGCCTGGAACAGAATGTGGAGTAAACAAGGTTAGTTATAGAATTATTTTAATACCTGTTTTCAGTAAGTCAATATCATCATCATCATCATCATCACTCCTTTATGGCCCCTGGGGAGCAAAGGGCTGCAACCACGCATCTCCAGCGGACTCGGTTTTGGGCTGCTCCTCTAATCTGTGCCCATGAGAGCCCAGCTGTTTTTGCCTCTTCCTCAACCGTTCTCTTCCATGTTTTCTTTGGTCGGCCCACCCTCCTTTTCCCCTGGGGATTCCAGTCCAATGCATGTTTTGCGATGTTTTCTTTTTCTTTTCTTAACGTGTGTCCGATCCATCCCCATTTTCGGGCCTTAATATCTTTCTCTATTGGCTGTTGCTTTAAAATTTGCCACAGGTCTTTGTTTGATATTTTGTCTGGCCATCTTATTTTGAGTATATGTCGTAGGCATTTGTTTACGAACGCCTGTAGCCTCTCAGTATTTGTCTTCGTAACCCTCCAGGTCTCCGAGCCATAGAGTAGCACTGCCTTAACATTTGTGTTGAAAATCCCAATTTTGCTCCGGAGTGACAGGGCCGTGGACCTCCACATCTGGCGCAGCGAGTTGAAGGCACATCTAGCCTTGTTGATACGGCATTTTATGTCCTCGTCTGCTCCCCCGTCCTTATTGATCACGCTTCCCAGATATGTGAATGTGAAGTCAATATTATATTAAACTTTAACCCTTGCTGAAAAATATTTTTCGTAGTATAAAATAAAAATTATTTTACTAAGTAATTATGTCCTTTTTAAAATAAAGAACAGTAGTGAACAACACCTAATTATATCAAGCTTGATATGTTGAATAAACTAACTACTTTTTAATACAGTTTAAAAAATACTTTCAATATTTTGTTGAAAATTAAATTGTTTCTCTGTTTCTGACGTAGTCAAAAAAGAAATCTATAAAAAAAAAAAGAAAATGGCTGTAATAATTCTAATTTTATTTATAGACTTTAACTTACCAAAACATGACTAATTTTAAATAATTATTAATTTTGATTTGCCTAAGCTACTATGCACCTGCTAATCCCTATACAAAATCCGAACTCTTAAAATAAAAAATGAAAAGCAATTTAAAAAAATTACTTTTGCAGATTTGCTATCTTGGTGAATGTGTATTGGATTCAAGTAAAAACACAATAATAGCAGAGGCCAGATCAATCAATGTAGTGCCCAACATTCCAGATTTGGTAGGACCCTCATTCAGGATGAGAGGACCTCGTCCTAGAGATCAACGAAGAACGCGACACATTGCTGAAGAAGGTAACAAATAATTGTGTAAAAAACTGCTGTTAACTAGATTACTACTGTAAAAAATCTAGTTATTGTGTAAATTTTTAAAAAATGTAAAATTAAGTAAAAGTAAAGTAAAGTTTCCCTTTCAAACCTGACGGTCTATGGGGCAAGTGAAGTAGAGTTCACTTGTTTCTGTGACCTCGGCATATGAAGAGATAGTGTGGTCAGCACTATGCCCAGCCGTCTTTACTTTCCCTAACGTGAGTTAGGTACCCATCAGAGTTGGGTGGACTCAGGGATGGTCTACTAATTTGAACCCAGATTCGAACTCGAGACTAACGAGTTAGCAGTCCAGCTCTCTACCGCTAGACCACTCCGTCCCTTCAAGACTGTTTTTTTTAATAACTGTTTTTCATGTAATAATAATAACTAGAACTATTAGTAAATTTTGATATTTCTTTGTTAGAAAACTTATCAACTTGTAAATATTTCAGATGAATGCAAAGAAGATAAAAATGTCCGATACTGTGTGGGTCTTATGAAAATCAATCCAGATGCCTGCGGAAGACGTGCTGTTCGGCAATATTGTTGTGCAACTTGCAGACATAGATAATGATATTTTAATAATTAAAAAGTATTAGCGTTATATTTACTTTCTAAATTACCATTTATTTGAAATCAACATTGAATATTTATGTTTAGATAGTTTCTTAACGACCTCTTATTTATTTAAGCCTTTCATAATGTAAACAATGTAAAAAGAAAATTGAAGAAATGTAATTTACTGCATGGTCATGCTTCACATAGTCAACATTTTAAAACAGTTTTCATTATCAGTTTGTTTCCCTTGAGTTTATTATGTATACAAATACAATCTACACTAAAATATTTATCTTAGTAATTCTTAGTCTAATTTCAGATAACTGTTTGCTAGTGTTGATTTGCCATAAGTATGTACTTTAAATCCCACAATTGAATGAATCAGCATTTTGTTTTTGGTTTCTATTAAAGTCATCATAAGCCTGTAATGCCACTGAGATTGTTGAACACTATTTTTTGTGAACATTTTTTGTATTGGACCTCAGAATTGATTTCAAATTTACTCACCATTCAGGGTAAATTATTGATTTTACAACAAAAATAATGTTTTTGCTTCTGCTTGTAATAATTTATTCAGGAAAATATGAAGCTGTAGATCAATTAGTCAATTATAAAAATGTGGACAAATAATGTGTTTTTGTGGCTCTAAATTGTATATGTAAATATGTAAATCTAAAACAGTTTCATGGACATATCAAAATAATCATTAACTGTTAATATACATTATGCTATTAGAATGACTTGTGTTCAGTATGTTTTGTTAATATATTTAAATCATGGTAGTGCATTTTTCAGTAATATTCATTAAAGACTGTCATAATAGGGGTGACTACCCTTTTAATTGACAACTTACATTAGGTTTTAAAATAAAGCTGTGATGCAAACATGTTTTTAATTATTAACTGATTACTTGAGCTTTTATATAATTGGTTTTTTTAAATTATTTTATATTTTGTTTTGTGGAAAGATATTGATAATGCTGTATTGTTGTTTAAAATTGTTTACAAACTGGAAATTTTTTTTGATTTGCAATCTGTAACTTGAAATAGTTTCTCATTAACTAGATTATCTTTGCAAACAGTGTACGAACCAAAAATAGCATTCTAACATAATTTCTATTTCCAAGTTTTAAAAAACCCAAATGACAATTTGATACACCCATGCATTATTTCAAAATTATTTGTAACTATTTATTATCTACATCTATTATATTGATAGTGTATAATTTATTTTATCATGTAATCAGTGTGTCCTGAGTTAATGTTTATAAATTATCCATGTTGTCGCCAAACAATGTGGTGATAAAGTTAGTAAAAATCAAATTAGTAGTAATTATATTTCTTTTATGAACAAAGTAAATTGCCTTCATTAAGCACATTTAACAGTCATTATAAGGTATTACATACATTCCCTACCATTTCAAACTTTAAAAAATTAGATTTTTTTCAACCACTTTAAAAATGGTGTTAATTATCAAATAATTATTGAGTATAAAAAAAAATGTGAAACATTATGTCAATAACTTTGAAAGTTTAAGCCTAATGTTAAGGGCATTAGGCTTTCCTTCTCATTATTAAAGTAAAGCACATACATTTCTTTACGTAATAACAATTAGCGGTAAATACATTTTTACCAAAGTCATGAAAGATTTTTATTTTCCATTGTTCACAGCAGCAGCATTTTTCTCATTATTTTTAGACAGAAGTATGACATTAATGAATGAAAAGAAATAATGACTCCGTCCGCTTTAATTTTTCATTGTATTGATTCAGACTGAAAAAGAATAAATAAATATTTACCTTTTAAAATCTCTTTTAGTTTCAAACTACCTCAGCAATTTCTAATTAAATATAATTTTTTATTTCATTGGTTAAATACTTAAGTTTAGTGAACAGATAATTTTAGTTATAAAAATAATATGGTTTTGCCGGAAAGCAAACTTTAAAAATAATTTTGTTTACTACATTTGAATGTTTAGACTTTTTTTTTTTAAATCTACAAAATAAACCTACTTAGAATTTCTTTCTCTTTCTATAAATCATGTTTGTAAAATTATTTTTTTAGTCGCTGCCTGCCTTCTAAAAAAATATGTTACACATCTTATTTTATAAAAAAAAATAACTTATAAAATGTAAATCACTTAAAGTATGATATAATTTTATTATCACTTTAACTTTAAGCATGGTTAGTAAATAATGAAATAATATGATTATTCTTGATCGAGTTGTATGTCTTGAGTATATTTAAGTTATAAAAGTGTAATCAGTATTTTTTCAAATGTCAAATACATTTGCAATTCATAATTCCATTTTAAAACAATGCTTTGCTATTAGTTGGTGTGAGAAAGTAAGTGATTAATGTGTACGATTTAAACTTTATACTTTCTTTTTAAAAAGTACATTAAGAAATATTTGTGAATTTGTAATATTTATGAATTTAGTATGTTATTTTTATACATGTATATTTATAATGATTAAAAGCATTTTATTTATAAATGTTGTTATTATGTGATTCATGTAGTGTCTCACTGTCCACTGGCTTCTGCGTATCCTTCTGATTGTTGTGTGTTCTTAAACACAGTGCTACTCTAATAATTAAAATGAAAAGCTCTAAGACAGATGGCAGAAATCTGATGAATATTTACTTGTTTAGCATTTGTAAATTTTGTGTTTGCCAACCACCTTTAACCAAACTTAGTTAATAAACAAGGGACATTTTTTATACCAGCTGTGCAAAAATATTGGTAATGATAAAAAAATGAATAAAAACTAGTTCTTCATGTTGTCATGCTCTTGCCAAAACCTGAACATGCTGTGTTCTAATTCACACATTAGCAGGAATAAGTCCTATTACTTTTGATATTTCTTATTAGAATAATTGTATGCAGACTTAAAGTAATTAAATAAAAGAAAACAAAATAATACATGCAATTTAAACCAGAATATAGCCCACAGAGTTCCCAAACTAATACCCTTCTTTGTAAATTATGTATATAGTGATGGCATGTTCTACTGATTCATTAAGATTCATTAAGGAAAAGACCAATATTAAAGAATAAAAAGAAAAATAATAAAGTGATGAGATAGGGAGGCTTCATAATTCACGCACTGAAATTGAAACAAAATGGGAAGGGGAAGGGGTGAAGATAACAATTTCTGTGAGGGACGATACTAGTTAAAGTATATATTTTCTATATAATTATATCTTTTCCTATTTTGTCTGGGGAGGGGGCAGTGGACGTGGTCTGGGGGATGTAGTGTGCCTCCCCCCCACTCAAAGAGACGCAGGAAATAAACTTTTTGCAAAAAGTGGTATTTAATATGTAGTTTTATGCAATGGGATATGTAAGGCTAAAAAGGTTGGTCAAAATTGTGTCATTCTCCCCTCCCTTTGATCATGGTATATCTCCACAAAATCTCATAACACGCTGTGATACTTAGTTTTAGCAAAGCCATTTCCAGCATATTACATACTCTGATCGATTTATTATTGTAACTTTAAAAAAAATTAAAATGTGAAATAATTTATAAAATTCTATACTTTCTTACACCCCCCCCCCCCCCCCCATGCATATCACATAAGATTGACCCCCCCCCCCCCCATTCCACACGTCAGGTAGGCCTATGTAACCACAAATATAAAAATACATTGGAGGGTATGTTGTTGTGAGTTCTAGGGTCTTCGACTGATTGATTTATACAATAGATTAATAGACTAATTTAGTTAATAACGAATGATGTTTATTCCTTTTAACAACATCGAATTTTGTCGCAATTTAGAGTGCGTGTTGGTTTTTATTGCGCGTCGGGTTGTTAGTCAAACCAAGTCGATCGGCAAAGCCAACTTCCAAAAATCATTGTGTATGTGTGTAGTATTGTAGTTATTTAGTTTAGGCTCTGTAAGTAAGTAGATCTAGAATCTAAACATCTTTAACTAATTTATTATTTATTGCTAGATATCTAGACTTGTAGACTCTAGGGTAATCCCTTAGTTTAGCGTCGGAAATTATCGGGTAATGTTTGTTGAGTTTCGGTAACTAGAGTTACGGTAAACCATGGTTTATTTGACCATTGAAATATAAATAAATTGAAAGTCGATTGTAGTAAATTAATGTTTTAATTTTTTAAGTTTAATCGACTAAAGGAAACAATAATAAATGTAATAGTAGATTTAAATTAGTAGATCTAAAAATTAAAAAAAAAACATATATTAATATAAATAATGAAGTCAAATGTAATAATTTAATGTTTTTGGCTTGCAGCGGATTTGCGACCATTAATTAATTAGATCTAGATCTAGCTAGATATCTAGCTGCTAGACCAAGTAAAAAAAATCTAGATTACGAAAATAGTAAAAATGATTACAAAATGTAAAAATGATTACAAAAATAAATCTATCCAAAATTTAAACATTCTGTATAAAAATAAAAGATGACGCCAAATAAAGTATCGTTTACAGTACTTCCGGTGAATTCCGGAAGTGTGTGACAGACTTTGGCATTGTTTTACTGTTTTTTACTGCTATACGATTCCGGAATAATAACCGACGCTAAACTAAGGGATTACCGACTCTAGATCTAGTCACTGTCACAAGACTAGTACTAGAATCTAGTAGTTAACTAGCGGTATGTTTTGTTGTGTTGGTAAAAGAAAATCATTAAAAAATGGTCGATGGTCGGCAAAGTAAAAAAATAAAAATTATTAAATTAATCATATTGAGCGAGAAAAGTAATAATAATATGGTTAGGTCCATAAATTGGGGATATACAACCCTAGCCCTACCATACATATACCATACATATACGCCTAACCCTAATTTGTAATTTTGGATGATTATTATTAAATATTACTAATTAGGCCTAATTTAATTTTAATATTATTAGTTATAGTTAGGCCCTAGATACTAGATACTAGACTAGATTCTAGATCTAGATAGTACTAGAATCTAGATCTAGATACCGTTTTGTCCTGTCCGTGATAAGAATCTTCTTCAAAAAAGCCTTAAAGTCTTTAAGAGTTTAAGATTAAATAAAGGGGGGTGTTGGGTTGTTAGTAGTATTGTAATCTAATTTTATGGTTAGAAATTACTATTAGTATTATTAGGATTAGGCGTATGGTAGGACCAGGGTTGGGGTAAGGGTTAGGGACAGGGTTAGCATTGACATTAACCACAATAACCAGCCATGTGTGCATTTAGTTAACTAGATCTATAACTACCAGTAACCTAACACCCCTTTTTTAAGAAGATTCCATTATCGGACACCGGTGTAAATAAACATTCTCCCGTAGTAATTTCTAACCATAAAAAAAAGGCATAAAATTAGTCGAGATTTACTACTAACAACACACCTTTTTTATGGATGAGTCTATTAATTTATCATATTTAATTATATTTAGTAGGCCTATTATTATTTAAGGCCTATTTAATTTTATGATATTATTGGACAAAAATCTATGATGTGGGGCTATCATACATCCATAAGAAATTGAACAGCAAGTTCCTGTACAGCCAATCAATGTTTGTCTTATGAAAGTAAACATTGGGTTATAACTTAGGCTTGATGAAAATAAATAAACTCTAGAATTAATTTTCAAGTTCTCTTGATTTGCAACTTTTATATCGGGTGTGGGGAAATTGCGAGACGCGAAAAGCGAAATGGCGAGGCGGGAAAATGCGAGAAGGGCGCGAAAACGGTCGGTCACGTGACTTTTTGTCTCGCATTTTACCACAAGCCGATACTTACGCTGGGTGGTGTTGAAATGCGAAGATTTCTGCGAAAAATTTACCGCACCCGATTTTCAGTGGTATTTGGTCCAGACTTCAAAGACGTTTCGTTTACATTGTTAAAACTTCCGATTTTTCCGTCGCTAGACATACTGATAATTTGTCAACTCCCCCCATCTTTTGTGTCGACTTAGAATACCACCTTGTTCGAAAACGACGGAAATACCGCCGACGATAGATCAACTTCTGTCTTTTGTGTGGAACGCCGAGGCCGCCTGATTTACCGTCTTTGAAGATCGCCGTGCCCGGTTCCGCTGCCGCCGCAAACATATTTTCTATTGTTGCATAGAAATTTTGTATTATAGCCGCCGCCTACGATTTTTTTCTAGCTTTTTTTTACCATATAAATCTAAGCACAAGGAAATGCCTACATCATTTGGATACAACAAAATAAAGTGACGTCACCGATATTATCAGTTGTTCGTGCTATATCGTAAGCTATGGGCCTACTTCAAATATTTTTAAAACCAAGTTGAACTTATCTGAATTTTTTGGTTTTGGTGGTGGTGTTATTTGGGGTCTTCCATAAATGACGTCACACTCGTAGGGGGGGGGGGGTCTGTAATTTTATGACGATGTGCTATGAGGGGGAGGAGGGGGGGGGGGGGTAGATGTGAAGTCACACTATAAAAAAGCAATGTTAGAAAAAGAATTTTAGACGGTTTTTTTTTCGCGTTTTAGAAAACTGTTTTAATACATTGTAAAAGGAATTGATTAAAATACTCTATTTTGAGCAAAATTAGACAAGATTTTTGGGAAAATATCGATGTTTTAAAAAAAAAACTCAACTGCTGGTGACAACAATGAGCAAGACATTGCCAAAATTACAGAAATGCTAAAAATACAAATTATAAAAAACGGAAAACAGATGTTGAGCGTGCGGATGATGAGTACATGGGTGCCAGTGTTGTTTGTGGGATGAACGAGGAGGTCAACTGTGATGAGAATGTGAAATGTTGTGAATGTGGATTGGAAGAAGTAGCCAAAGAAAAATGTATAAATGGGAGTCTAATGAACTGGGTTGGGTGTACTATGTGTGAAAGATGGTGTCATGAGGTGTGTTAGAGGACTGTTTCAGAAGATTTTGTTTGTAAATTGTTTGTAATTAAAATTACTTAATAAAAAATAAATTGCACTTTTTAGAATTGTTTATACTTTTACACTTTTTGCAAGTACAAAAATCCATAAATAGATGTTGCAAAATATCTCTCCTGCTGACAAGATTATACCAATTCACAATGACACAGCTCACGTTTGTATAAACATGAGCGGGCTAGATTTTTAAATTAATGCCGACTGAGACGGGATTTTCATCTCGCTAATAAGAGCGGGCGATGACAGTAGCACAGCAACGATGTTAGGATTTTTAAATAGATAGATCTAGATATTGATATAGATCTATCTATCTTCTTAGTATCTAGATAAAAAATAACAACATACAACACTCGTGTTAAAGGGTATGGCTAAATGCTTGTTTATTTTTAAAAAAAAAAGAATAATTTAAATAAATAAAGATGGGAAAAAAAGGAAAAAACTTTTTTCGCAAAAAGTGTCTCGCTATTTACCCTTAATTCCGCAGGTATGTCTCGCATTACCTTCTCGCATTTTCCCGCCTCGCCATTTCGCTTTTCGCGTCTCGCAATTTCCCCACACCCTTTTATATCATTGATTCTAAGAATATTAAATTTCTGAATTATTTTTAGGTTTAAGTTTTTATTTTTTTATTATTTTTATGGTCGCTTTGATTGCAAACTCTAAAACATGTTTTTAATCCATGTGATTCGATCAATATGATGGAAGGATTCTCGCAACTCAGTCGCCTCCATTAGGCCTAGATCTAGAGTCTAGATCTAAAATCATCACTAAATTTATTAAACTAACTTTGATTTAAAGTTATTAAATAGAATCTATAGCTAATTCTAGGTCTTCAAGTCAAAGTTATAGTGACTAGTCTAGTCCTAGTCAGTCTCTAGGCTCTAGACTAAAGTCTAGATTTCTGTCAATCTATTGTTTTAGCTACGTAAAATCAGCTGAGGCTACTATTATTGTCTAGATCAGGGGTTCAGGATTTATTTTTATTCAATTGTTACAGTTTTAATTTTTGATACGCTCCTAATTATGATGCTCTGGCCAATGAAATGCAATGCCAAAGATCACATTGACTTTATTAAATTTTTTAATTAAATGTTTTTTTGTATTTATGTGTTTTGTTTACTTTCTTTATGTTTTGTAAATACATTGCTCTGTGTGTATGCAATTTGAAAAAAATGCCAAATAATTTTATTATTTTGAAACATTTTTGTTTATTATTTATTAATACATTATGACTATAAGAAAACAAGAAAATAAGAAAATAAATTATGGGAAAATGACAAGTTATGGAAGGAGTTTGTCGATTTAAAATAGGTGGTGCCTACCACCCTACCGATATTTTAGAATGTGCTCTAGAGTAAAAAAAGGTTGGGAACCCCTGGTCTAGATCTAGTAATTAACTTAATATAAACAGATTTTGGTGATAACTATGATTATATTGCAGAATGGATTTTGGATGCTGTTTAACCAAAGGGTATTTTTAAAGGTTTTAGCAAAAGTGTTTTGGTTTAAATTTAATTTTCTCGATAGATAAAACATATTTTGTTATATTTATTCACTGTTATTTACCCATCATTACTACTCAGTTCATTAAACAGTAGGCTTTTCTTGTTAAGATTATCAATAAGAATATTTGCTTGTCAGCTGAACATCAAAGTTCATCAAAACTGTTATGTTTTATGTGTTAATGATTCACTATACATAATCAAGTTGCTATTAAATGAAGTAAGACAACACAAAGCTATGGTTGAAGTAGTACCCTCTCAGGCTAGGCATGGCATATGGCAGATGAGCGTTTGTCTGGTTTCTTAGACCTTAGTTTACGGAGGGATAGTGCTGTCAGCTGCCTTTGCTTTCCCAGACTCATTTGCCCATCAGAGATGAGTGGACTCAGGGAGGTTCTATTGGCTCAAGCCTGCAAACTAAACTTGAGACTTTCTGATTAGTACTATCATGCATCTACCCCTCTACCATGCCAGCCCCTTAAAATTCCAGTAGTATTGTAATAATATAATTTTGTATGTTGTTTTAACTAGCTACAGACATGTTAAAGATTTATGTTTACTAGCACTAAACCTGATTACACTTTTTGCTTCTTTGCCTCGATAGTATATTATTGTCTGTTGAAAAGCAACTTTTTAAAACCAGTATGAAATAAAATTTACTGTAATTGGATGATCACAATAGCTATTTATAACTTTACTTCAGCAATTATATAATTTTTAGTTTTTCTTTTAGGCTGCAAGTGAACAAAAGTTACAGTTGTTAATGTTTGGTTCCTGCTTCTTATTGTTTTAATTCTGCATCACTACATGTTTGAACAAGTATGACAGGAATGGATGATGGTAACATGCTTTCATTCACTTGATTTTACTCTTTGCTTTTTCTATACCGTAATAGCTTTTAAAATTAAAAAAGCTTGAGGTGGGTTAAGGAAACACATTTATCGCATTCTCTATGTTATGTAACAGTTTTGACAATTTTTTTTTTATTTGGGTGCAAGAGTAAATAAAAATGTTATTCTATTAATCAATTACCATTATGTATGTATACCTATTGTTTGGAAAAATATGTTTTTTTCTCAATTTTTTATTTTATTTTCATACTTAATGCATTTTATTCATAATCAACAGATAATAACGATCTCCTAAATAAAATGCCATGCTGGTATTTTGAGAGGAGAGAGATAAAAAATTCTCCATCTTTTAGAGATGGTATTGACACAGCAACAGAGAACAGATATCGGAGAGAGGGTGCACGATTCATTATTGATGCTGGTACAAAAATGGGGCTGTATCCTTTCAATAGTTGTCACCTAATTAGCTTTAGTGTTGTTTGTTTTTAGGTGCAATAAACAATTTACCTTCAGCAATTGTTAGGTATAAGTCTTTTAATAGTAATTAAAACAAACATTAATTTCTCCCTAACTTTTACTAGCCGTTATGATACATGTGCCACTGGAGTTGTGTATTTCCATAGATTCTACATGTTTCATTCCTTCAAAGAATTTTTTCGTTATGTGAGTAAATTGCTTTTTATATCTCTTTAAATTAAATCAATCTCATTTTTTTTAAACACAAGACATACATTTAACACATTTTTTCTGCGCCCAACACTGTTTTTTTTTTTTGACACAAAAAATGGTGTTAACTTCTCAGGTGACTGCAGCTTGTTGTTTGTTTTTGGCTGGTAAAGTTGAAGAGACTCCCAAAAAATGCAAGGACATCATAAAAATAGCTCAGGCTCTGCTATCTCCAGCATCCTTCAACAGATTTGGAGAAGATCCAAGAGTGGGTTTCTATGAGTGTTATTTTATTTATGTTTTGTTGTCTTTTTTTCAAATCACTATCTATATCATGTATACAAATTAGTATTTGCATCAAAATTTTAATTATTTGGTATATTGTAAACCAGTGTGAAATGTAATGATTCAAAAATGTATTACTCTATTTGTTAGAACTAAATCATAAAAAACGAGCCGACCCGTTGCATATCATACGCCGCTATTTAGTTGTTTTATTTTCTACTTTTCAGTAATTCATAATTTGTGAATTTGACAGTACCAATGCTGCCACTGAAAATATTTGCTTTAAAATACTAAAACCCTCCTTCCCCCCCCCCCCCCCCCCCTCTCCAGTGAAAGCAGCCTCCTCTTTGTTACCTCCCTAAGTTTAAAATCCTTTAGTTTCAAACTAAATTATCTGCCCCTAATAGCCGTAACTAAACCCGGCTCTACGATTGTAAACATTTAGCGTGAACCACAGCTCACCAGACCATGTGGGGGTGGTAGCGATATGCCTAGAGAGGAAAAGGGGGTTGCTAGGCGCGCTTATAGCTTGGTGTTTTCTAGGGTCTAAGAACAGAATTATATATATATAGATTATGATAGAAAAATAAATTGAAAATATGTAGGCCTATCTAAAATAATTTCTACTTAATATCTTAAATTAAGCTTGTATTATGACACTGTTTTTTAGTGTAAACTGTACAAATATTTGTATTATTTCAGGAGGAAGTGATTACAATGGAGAGAATTTTATTGAAAACCATCAAGTTTGATTTACAAGTAGATCATCCTTACAGTTGCATGCTGAAGTTTGCAAAGCTCTTTAAAGGTAATCAAGTTAATGATTTGCTTGTTTTTTCTGGCCACAACTAGACATTGTTGCAGCTGTTCCTCCAAAATATTGTGTTAAAGATATGTGTCGCCACTGTACAAATCTTAAGATTCCAATGGCTACTGCTAACTTTGATTTATTTTTTGAGTTTTGTTTTTTCAATGTTTATATTATTTCAGAATTTATTTGAAAAATCATAATTAAATTTTAGCACTTTGTCAAATATTTCTAACGTGTTCATGGAAATAATTTAAGAAAATGACCCTGTAATACATTTCTGTTGAAGCCCATCATTTTTTCTTTCATGTGTGCTGCCTTTGAAGATTCAGTTACTTTGAGACAACCTCTGTCAGGATACAAGACAGAATCAGGAGTTCACTCACGTCAGCAATGCTTCATTCTTAATGATAAAAAAAACTACATATGCACCCAGCCCCCCCTCTTCCCTCACTGCCTTTGGTTTGTGGGGCTAGCACACATAAACAGCTTGAGATTTTTGCCCTTTTTTTCTTTGACTCTAATCTGTGAATTTTAGTTGTTGTTTTTTTATATATAAAGTCAAATACTACCTTTTGTTGTTTTAATGTGAATTAAATTTGCTTATACTTAATTTCAATTCAATGCTTTAGTATTGCATTTTAGGTTTAAAAATTTGTTGAGATATTTTCTTCTTTTTTTGCCACATCTTTCTCCCCTGGTTTTCCAGCTGTTTGCTTGGTAATTAGGATTCATACTATACTGGTCTGAAATTGATGTTGTTTTGAAATATTTCAGGTGATAAGGAAAAGACACAGAAGATGGCACAGATGGCTTGGACATTTATTAATGATAGGTTTGTCATTTCTTTCTGATAGTTTATAGATGAAGTTCCTCTTTAGACAGAATGATCCACTTGGCAGATGAAGTAAAGTTTATATGTTTCTTAACATTTATAAAGGAAGGGATGGTGTGGTCATCCACCTTTACTTTCCCCAACTTAAGTCAGGTACCCATTAGAGTTGGGTGGACTCAGGGTCATCCTACAGTCACTACTCCAAACTGAGATCAGAATTCAATATTTTCTCGTTACCATTTGACCCTACCATCCCCCACATTAAAAATAAGTCTGTCATTTGTTTCACCTAGCATGTAACACAGCCGGCTATGTGTGACTGCCAGTACTAATGCACTCATGTCCCTCTTCCAGCCTGTGTACAACCCTGTGCCTCCAGTGGGAGCCTGAGATTGTAGCTGTTTCTTTGATGTACCTGGCATCACGGCTGACCAAGTTTGAGCCCACTGACTGGTCAAGTAGGTCCAGCAGCAGGGCCAAGTGGTGGGAGGACTTTATTGAAGGGATGTCAATGGAATTGATGGAAGGTAACTGTAATTTAACTAGGCTTTTCACTTCATCTTTGGGTTATGTTTTGTTAAGTTCATTTCAGAGGGGAAATTTAAGGCAGGTTTTAAAAACTTGTCGGTTTATCTCCTTTGATAAATAATTTTTTAGAAATTGTAAAGCTTGTGTTTTATTCTTATGCACATAGAACATTTTATTTATTACTTAGTGTACATTTATTCCATATGTTTATTATAAAGGTCATTAACCATGTACTTTCATTCTATTTGTCAAAATGTTTCTCTCTCATGCTTATATGCTGAAACTCATTCACTTGGCATGGGTGGTAGCTGTAAATGTGTTGAAATTTTGTTAGACAACACAGTCTTGTGTATGGGTAGCTCGACTCAATATTTATCTATCATCAATATTTTTTCAGATATTTGTCACCAAGTGCTGGATCTGTACTCATCAAAACAGAAGAAAATTGAGGCTGACTCCCCACCCCAGAGTCCTGCTAAAGGTGGCAAAGTACAGTCTTCACCACCCCCTCCTCCCCCTGACAGAACACCTGGGAAACGAAGTAGAGAGGTAAGACACCTCATGCATTGTTCTTTTTATTTTTAAGAATGACATGGCTAATTAATTTTATTCTTTAGTGCTGGGCTATTAAATTGCAACAAGGTAGATAAAACTCAATTGGATAAAACTCAATTCAAATTTTCAAAATTTGTTTAGAATTGAATTCAGTTATCATGTCGGTCATAGTGTGTTTTGATATATTGATGATTTATAGCTAAATTTTAAAAGTGGAAATCTAATTGTGACATAATTAGGATACACCATCTGAGTCAGAGCCTGCTGCCAAGTCAGTTAAGATGGAGAAAGATGTGAAGCCAGCAACTTCAACACAAAGTAGTTCATCAAATATGACAGGTTGGTTGTTCTCATCTCAATTTCCCTGGACTTTTTTTTTACATTTTGCTGTATTGTTGTTATGAAGGGATAGTGTGGTCAGTATTATGTCCAGCCGCCTTTGCTTTGCCTAATGTGAGTTAGGTACCCATCAGAGCTGGGTAGACTCAGGGACATTCTACTGACTTTTTGGGTTAGCAGTCTAAAGCTCTACCGTTAGGCCCCGCCATCCCATGAATAACAAATTTTACAGTACTTTAATGATTTAACTGATTAAACTTGTGTTTAACTAATATTTTCTACTAAAGGCTTTCTGTAATGGCATAATAAGTGTTTAAGTAGTAGGTAAAAATAAAATTAAAATGATGTGTTAACCACAGGTGCACCAATACCAGTGGCTCAGCATATTACTCCATCTGGCAACCATTCAAGCTACAACTCAGGTGAACAGAGTGGCATCGAGTTCTCTTCCTACAACCCATACATTTCATCCCAGATGTACACCTCATCCTTCATGTCCCAGGAGGGCTCCCAGAATATTCAGTCCATTCTCGCGGGCAATGCTCCCCCACCCCAGCCTGTGGCACCGTCTTACCCAGAGCACCACTCCCATCACCCGCCACCTCCAGATGCATCCCAGTATCCTCCTGTGCCACCATCAGATTTGTCCTATGGCTACCCACCCCCGGCATCCCAGTATGTACCATCCCCATTACCACCCCCTCATTCGTATCCACCCCCACCAACAAGCGCACCACCGTATGATCCATACTCTGTTCAGCCTTCCTCGTCTTATCCCCCCTCGTACCCACCACCTCCGGTAAACCAGCCTCCCCCACAGCACCCTTACCCACCGCCTCCCCCACAGTCTTATGGTAATTACTACCCACCTGTCAACCAATCCTCCGGTCATGTTCCTCCAGCCCCACCCCCACAGCATGGCCCACCTCCCAGAATGCCAAACTATCCCCAGCCACCCTACCAGCCTCCCCCTCAGCACCATTCTGGGCCCCAGAACTATGGACAACCACCCCGTCACCGTGGTAACTACCACAACAAACATGGCAAACACAATCAGTCGCAGCGCAAAGATATTCCTGCACTTACTGAAATCAAAATTAGTGGTCGTCCTGATTGGTCACATCCTAAGTAAAGACTGCGTTAGTTAATGGACATATTTTTAACGGTCTAATTTACAAATCAAGACAACTTTTAGTCAAGATTCATAACATTTTCTCTGTTGTCAAACGTCTGCAGTGATGCACTTGTTTTTGTATACTAGACTGAAATTGTCTGAAGCAGTCTAAGATGTTGAATGTTGATACACAAGTTGTACATATGAAAGTTGCTGTCATACAAAAATGTTTTTGATTCACTGGTTACAGAATAAAATAATTTAAATTTTCTCATCTTGCCTCAGTAGTGTTTTTTTTAGACTATTTAAAAAGCAGAATGTTTTGAATCTCACTTCTATTGGTATAAATGTTTGTTCCCTTTCCCACTTGATTATACATACATGTTTTTAACTTTTTCATTGAGTAAAAATGTGTAAATAGCCACTGATTCACTTTCTCACATCAACCTCACATAAAAATAACTGCAATGTTTTTTGAGAATCTTATTGATAAAGTCACCAACAACAATGTACAATAATAATAACAAGCACAGTATTCACTGGAGCTTACAACCTGACAAAAATGTTGTAACTCAAAAATGTCTTGACAAAAAACAAGGTCATTTGAATCAAATTTATCAAAATTCTTTACAAGTAATATGAGCAGCTATATGTTTACATAAGTGTGAAACAACTTCCAACAAATTCAGTTATCACAGTTAAGCATTGGGCATACGTAAAGACACTTTGTGGGTAGGTCACAGTGATGTGTGCTAACATGAACAGGCAGGTGACATGAACAGACAGGTGACACTGCTAAAACACAGTGTCACCTGTGTGGTGAGTGGTACCAGCAGTAAATAAAATGGATGTGCTCAAGTTTATGTTTTTTTCCTAGTACATTCATTGTCCCACAGTAAGGAAATTTTTTTTTAAAAGGGAATTTTTAAAAATTAATTATTTTAATAAATGAAAACGATTTTTAAACTTTTTAATGGTATAAAAAAATGTTTGTGTTGGACATATATTTTTTAAAAAATTGATGATGTGGTTTGTTAAACAATTAGTTTAATCTAGGAATTCTTGTTACTTCTCAAGAATTTTTTTTTAAAGAAAAACATTGTTCAATGTGAACAAAATATAACATGATGTTTGTGAATCTGTGTTATGTAATTATGCAGAGTTTCTTCAGGCATCACTTCAAGGGTAGGGGGGAACAGAGACCCCCCACCCCAAAAAAAGTCTACGCTCCCTTGAACAAAATGGAATTTATATAGAAAAATATTTTTACCTACATCCACTCCCCCCTCCCGGAGAAAAAAGTCTGGAAGAAACACTAATTATGTCATGCAGTGTTTCTAGCTATTGCTTTAAAAGTTTGCAGAGGACTTACAATTCCCAGGTAAAGTGTGCTTTTTTTCTTTACAAGTATACATGCTTAAAAAACTTGTTAATAAATAATTTTTAAAAAAGTAACATTGTAAAAAAATATTAAATACAAAATTCAAATACATTTTTACTTAAATTTGTACATAAAATTTTCATTAATGGCAACATCAATGAATTCATTTATACAAAAATTCCATACATGGAATTTAATTTTTTATCACAAGTTTCAAATACAAATATTTAAAAAATAAAAAATTGATCAATGGCATAAAAATATTAACGCAAAATGTATCTATTTACAAAGTAAATTGTAGGCCACAGTTGAAAGCTCATTCTTTTTTTACCCTGACTTATCTCCCTTGATGTAAAGATCCGTAAGTTGATTACTTGAAGGGGACGTAATTCCGTTTTTAAAATGAACCAAAGTCCTGCCTGAAAAAAAAATTCGGCTGTTCAGAATTCCAGATCTAAAATTTTAATGATATAATTTTACTACATTATTAAAATTACCCATTTTTTGAAGGACTGTTTTTGACATTATGTTATGGCTTATTTATGTTTATATAAGGACAAAAATAACGTAAACATGTTCTGTTATGTGTATTTTGCAGTACCTGTCCATGTTTTCTGCTGGGTCCATATAAAGCCTTGACACTCGCTGTCCCTATCACAGATGTGCTGGGCCTCAAGCAGGTCAAACACAGAGAGCGTGCAGGATACGCTGGACATGGACAGGCGACATCTGTAGTCGTATTGGCCAGGTAGGTCACTGGAGGTGTACAGGTGGTAATCTAGGAGGATGGGAGTGGGTGGTTTAGTGGTGGTAATTTAATAAGTTGGGAGTGGGTGGTTTAATGGTGGTAATCTAGGAGGATGGGAGTGGGTGGTTTAATGGTGGTAATTTAATAAGTTGGGAGTGGGTGGTTTAATGGTGGTAATTTAGGAGGATGGGAGTGGGTGGTTTAATGGTGGTAATCTAGGAGGATGGGAGTGGGTGGTTTTATCAGGGGCGTAGCGAGGGGGGGGGGTGCGGACCGCACCGGGTGACACCATTTAGGGGGGTGACGCCAAGGCAAAAAATAGCAAAATATATAGAGAAAAACTTGAGGGCGGGGGTGCAAATCGAAAACTTGAGGGGGGGGGTGCAAATCGAAAACTTGAAAGTTTGTCCCCGGGAAGGGTCGCAACGCCTCTGGGGGGGGGGGGGGGGGTGACTCCATTAAGTGCCGCACCGGGTGACACCCAACCTCGCTACGCCACTGGGTTTAATGGTGGTAATTTAGGAGGATGGAAGTGGATGGTTTAATAGTGGTAATCTCGGAGGATAGGAGTGGGTGGTTTAATGGTGGTAATTTAGGAGGATTGGAGTGGGTGGTTTAATGGTGGTAATTTAGGAGGATTGGAGTGGGTGGTTTAATGGTGGTAATTTAGGAGGATGGGAGTAGGTGGTTTAATGGTGGTAATTTAGGAGGATGGGAGTGGGTGGTTTAATGGTGGTAATTTAGGAGGATGGGAGTGGGTGGTTTAATGGTTGTAATCTAGGAGGATGGGAGTGGTTGGTTTAATGGTGGTAATTTAGGAGGATGGGAGTGGGTGGCTTAATGGTGGTAATTTAGGAGGATAGGAGTGGGTGGTTTAATGGTGGTAATTAAGGAGTGTGGGAATGGGTGGTTTAATGGCGGTAATCTAGGAGGATAGGAGTGGGTGGTTTAATGGTGGTAATCTAGGAGGATGGGAGTGGGTGGTTTAATTGTGGTAATCTAGGAGGATGGGAGTGGGTGGTTTAATTGTGGTAATCTAGGAGGATGGGATTGGGTGGTTTAATTGTGGTAATTTAGGAGGATGGGATTGGGTGGTTTAATTGTGGTAATTTAGGAGGATGGGATTGGTTTAATAGTGGTAATCTAGGAGGATGCGAATAAGTATTGAGATGGTGATGTAATGATTAGTATTATTGTAGAGTTTCGGTGTTGGTTTAAACAGTAGAACGGCGCTCAAGATAACTGAGATGGGTTGTTAGTCGTCATAATTTTGAAATGTCCACACATACGTAAGTTGTGGTTGTCAGTTATTGACCAAATTTTACATCGACATCATCGATTAACTCTGATTAAAAACAAAAAATACCTCTGGTTCCGTCATGCGCAGTGAGCCTGTTCTCGCCTAGGTATCTGCCGCTCTGATACTCTCCAACGATCTCGTCCATCGCACGCAGGAGCTGGTCCGTGTTCATCGTCAGGTTCTCATAGCCTTCAAGGACCGTGTCGATGAGGGGCTGCAGGGAGGCGGGCGCCCCGAACGGCAGGAGAACTGATATGAAATACCGCCCTGTTTTCATGATGTTAGCGTATTCGTTTTGGTGTTTGCAATGACCGTGCACACATTCTAACCTGGAGATAAAGCGTTTTGTTTAGAGTAACTTTTCGGTGAGAATAAACAGGCCTACTTTTATTGTAAACTTACCTAAATAGAGCTATAGAATAGGATGCAGCTTAGAATTATTCACATGGAATTGTTGTTAACCTGATTAATTCTTTTTTTGTGTGTGCAACAAAATTACCATTGCTAGTTTTTCGTGCGCAGTTTTCCGTTGCGCACATTTTTGGTCACAATTTAAACATGTGATGGCTTTAATCAGCGTATAGATTTAAATTTTCATTCTAACATGCAGTGATCGTGTTTTATTTTCCAAACAGTAAAACCTTTTTGTAATGCTGACGTCATCATACTTAAAGAGACACTCGTCATCGCTCGCGCAAGCCTGCTCGCCAAAATCTGCATCATCGACGTCGGAGAGTTTTAGACTGCCGTTGACTAGAACAAACTGCGTCCTCTGAAAGTCGTTGAGAGCCAGCGAACCTCGAGGCGAGGACGACAAAAACTGGATCAGCTTCGTCACGTCGTAGGAGATCTGAAAAATTGATTTTTGAACTGGCGTCAACTAGAGAACGTTTTTTTTGTTAAGTATTTTGTTCAATAATTTATTGTTGACTTGTTCTTGTGTGTGTACGTGTGTGGGTGTGTGTGTAGGGGGGGTGTAAACAGTAGTTATTTCAGACATTTGTCTCCTGGGGGGGGGGGAGGGGGTAAGGCATTCGGGACTGTCGCGGGGGGGGGGGGGGGGCACTTAAATGTAAAGTGCATGTATTGTGTGTATACAAACTATATTTCTGTTTCGTCCGGTACGTGTTTCGGGTGGGTTGGGGTTGGGGCGGCAATCCTTTCTTGTTCCCCCCCCCCCCCCCCTCGCCCTGCCCGAAGAGAATGTATGAAAGAAACTTTGTTTAAAGTGAACAAGCGTATCAGAAATTAGTATGGCACCAAAGCAGACAACACAAGAGTATGTGAGTTTCTGAATTTCTTTCTGTCAACTACAGCAATTAAAATAACCAATATTTTTTTTTCTCACAGCTAGAGCTTGCCTATTTACTGTATTGAAAAAGACGGTAGCATTTTAATGAATAAGATACGATTGCTTAATACTCGAAGATTATGAAGGATTATGACCTAGGGATTAGTGTTGTGGATTAAAAGACTTACACCAAAAAAAAAACAACAACATAACAATTAGGCGTAGTTGGATCTTTTTAACATGGGGCAATCTACTAGAGATTAGGTTTGCATTTCTGGCATACTACCTCACGGGGTAACTCTGGCAAACCACGAGCAGAGTTAGCTTCTCTTTGGTTGGTGGCCAGTGGGAGGAAGTGTGAATTAGATTAATTAGGTTAGAGATGAATAGGTTTGTGGTATGTCTTTGTGGTACTTTACCACATGCATTGTCTCAAGTCCGCACACACCCCCTCCTCATATACACACAAGCACGCATGTACACACACAAACACACACACACAACTACCTCACAAACTAGCATGTCTGTCTCTTTTCTGCCCTCTCTCCCAGCAACCACTTACACACATTGGCCGTAACATTCTAATCAAAGAGTAACAAGTGGTGGACTGGCCAGTCTGTGCAGGATTTTTTTTTAAACAAAAGTCAGAATACGACTCTTGGTAATCTCATTAGTGTACCTTCTCTTAGTCTCAGTCTAGCTTTTTAACCATTAACAGATTGACCTATTGACTACCCAGACAAAGTTAAAAATATCATTTTAACCCTCTGTTTCCCATTTACAGCATAACCTATTGAGCTGCCCACACAAAGCAGAGCATTGACATGTTAACCCTCTAATCTCCACAGCCAGCCCACGGCGAGTCTCACTCTAAATATAGCAAAAATTGAACGTGGGTATTAGACTAATCAGGGGCGTAGCGAGGGGGGGGGCGGGGGGTGCGGACCGCACCGGGTGACACCAATTAGGGGGGTGACACCAAGGCAAAAAATAGCAAAATATATAGAGAAAAACTCGAGGGGGGGGGGTGCAAATCGAAAGTTTGAGGGGGGGGGGGTGCAAATCGAAAGTTTGAGGGGGGGGGGTGCACATCGAAAACTCGAGGGGGTGGTGCAAATCGAAAGTTTGAAAGTTTGTCCCTGGGAAGGGTCTCTATGCCTCTGGGGGGTGACACCATTAAGTGCCGCACCGGGTGACACCCGACCTCGCTACGCCACTGAGACTAATTAAGGGAAGAAAAAGAAAAAAACAATAACAACCCAGCCAATAAATGACAACCTGGATGCCGGATTCAAATTTTAAAAACAAAATTGTTACTATAATGAGTCGCGTATTGATTGGATTGATAGAGTACGTCTATATGATCTTAATTTTAAAAAAAAAGTTCTTGCGGGAATTCCCATTTTTCTTTTTTTAACATTCAGCCGTCCTTGACACGACGAAAACAAAAACATGTTGATTAAAACAAGCCGAGACGTTTTTAAAACGACGAAAACTGTCGGAGAGCTGGTTGTTTTTCTCTTGTATTTTTAGCACGCATTGTAGAAGAAAAAAATGTAACAAGCGACGAAAAGAAAAGGGGAAAAAAATGTAATGATGTAATTAATAGAGCTTGGTCGTTAGAACTAAGGACATTTTTAACGACATATTAAAAATGTCGTAAATATGTTGAATTGTGTGAGTTGATTAGGTATAATTTAAAAACCACACACACACATGCACGCACACTCACACATACACTCACATACACACACAAACACGCACATGCGCTAACAGGAGAATACAGATTTAGCAGTTATTATTTGTGTTTAAAGGTTTAAAAACTTTATTTTCAATACGTATTTGTATTCTAACTTTTTGATCTGCACAACTGTTATATTTTATTTCACTTTTTAAACTGCTCTCGAATGTAATGAAAAAAAAACAAATGTGTAATAAAATTGTTCATTTTTCTGGGCTTAAATTTATTTTTTAGCTTCCACTAGCTGCCTACCACATTCTTGAGTTAGACGGCGTTTAGCAATGTATTTACAGGTCACTGTGGCCAAGTTATAGCTATGGGTGCCTAAGACTTATGCAATGGCCAAGTTATAGCTATAGGTGCCCAAGACTTATGCAATGGCCAAGTTATAGCTATAGGTGCCCAAGACTTATGCAATGGCCAAGTTATATCTATAGGTGCCTAAGACTTATGCAATGGCCAAGTTATAGCTATAGGTGCCTAAGACTTATGCAATGGCCAAGTTATATCTATAGGTGCCTAAGACTTATGCAATGGCCAAGTTATATCTATAGGTGCCTAAGACTTATGCAATGGCCAAGTTATAGCTATAGGTGCCTAAGAGTTATGCAATGGCCAAGTTATATCTATAGGTGCCTAAGACTTATGCAATGGCCAAGTTATAGCTATAGGTGCCTAAGACTTATGCAATGGCCAAGTTATATCTATAGGTGCCTAAGACTTATGCAATGGCCAAGTTATAGCTATAGGTGCCTAAGACTTATGCAATGGCCAAGTTATATCTATAGGTGCCTAAGACTTATGCAATGGCCAAGTTATAGCTATAGGTGCCTAAGACTTATGCAATGGCCAAGTTATAGCTATGTGTGGCCTAAGACTTATGCAATGGCCAAGTTATATCTATAGGTGCCTAAGAGTTATGCAATGGCCAAGTTATATCTATAGGTGCCTAAGACTTATGCAATGGCCAAGTTATAGCTATAGGTGCCTAAGACTTATGCAATGGCCAAGTTATATCTATAGGTGCCTAAGACTTATGCAATGGCCAAGTTATAGCTATAGGTGCCTAAGACTTATGCAATGGCCAAGTTATATCTATAGGTGCCTAAGACTTATGCAATGGCCAAGTTATAGCTATAGGTGCCTAAGACTTATGCAATGGCCAAGTTATAGCTATGTGTGGCCTAAGCTTTATTGCAAGGATCAAGTTACAGATGGCCTCATACTTATGTCAGTGACCACGCTATATGTGACTTACCCTAAACTTGACCCCCCCCCCCCCAACTCTAACATATCCTGACGTTTCAAAACGCAACTGCCACGCTACCCCATGCACAAAGCTCCCTCAAAGTTTAAAGTCCTGTCATCCCTTCATCAAAATGGATTGGTCTTTTCAGTCACCCCTATTTATGTTAAAGATGGTTCGTCCTGTATACCTGTCATAAAACAAATTCTTACTATTGGTATAAAACTAATAGACTCTACCAAAAAGAGGAGTGTTATGATGTGTGAACCATTGTATTACAGTAATGGATGGTATGGTTAGGATTAAGGCTATAGTATAACTTGGATTTGGGTTTGATTAATAATATATAATGGTTGGCTTTCAATTACCGATGGATGTTTGTTTGAATAAACAACATTAGTTTACTGCTTTCCGTAGACTAACACCCCTTTCAGAAGATTCAATATTTATTTCATTTTTATACTGGCTTGCCAACAACAACAAAACCACCCCCCCCCCCCCCCCACTTCCGTCACGTTCATGAAAAGTGTTCACAATATTTTCACCCTGATTGCTAAAATCGGAGTCGTGAATGACATAACATGGTCACAGGTTACTTATTAATATCAGTTACGTCATTACAAAGTGTTATGTAACGGGGTAGTTGGTCTCGGATTTGTGAGTTGTGTTTCTAAAACACTCAATACTAATCCTGTCATCCCTTTTTTTCAAAATGGTTTGATCTGTTCTGACACCCCTATTTCTTTACTTAATTTTCTGTACGCGCGTGTAAAAAAAAATGTCTTAATATTGGTATCAAACTAATAGACTCTTCCTATAAGAGCTGTGTTATAATGAAGGAATCATAGTATTACCACCTACAGTAATTTCGGCAAGGATTAGGGTTAGGGCTATCATATAACTTGGATTTTGGGTTTGATTACTAATATTTAAAGGTTGGCTTTCAATTACAGATGGGTGTTTAATAAACAACCTAATAGTTTAGGTCTAAAACTTTCCGTAGGCTTACACCCCTTTTCAGAAGATTCCATTTTTTAAAGTTGTGCCAATCACAACAAAATCAACCTTCCCCCCCCCCCCCCCCCCCCCTTCCGTCACCTTCATGAAAAGTGTTCACACTTTTTTCAGCCTGATTGCTAAAATTGGAGTCGAGAATGACGTAACATGGTTGCAGGTTACTTAATATCAGTTACGTCATTACAAAGTGTTATGTAACGGGGTACTTGGTCTCGAATTTGTGAGTTGTGTTTCTAAAACACTCAAAATTAAGTCCTGTCATCCCTTTTTTCACAATGGTTTGATCGGTTCTTACACCCCTATTTCTCTCAATAATGTAATAAGCAATAATCTGTTTCCTTTTCCGCAGTTGAAACCCCTATTTCAGAAGATTCCATTATTATTACATTATTGAAAAGTGATGATAAAATTAAACTCTCTCCCCCCCCCCCCCCCCCCCACCTTCCTTGTCGCATCAAAATATAAGGTTGACATTTTTAGTGTGACAACACGATGTCGTAAATAACGTAACAAGGTCACAGGTTATGTAACATCAGTTACTTCATTCAAAAATGT